TTTGGTTAAGAGAAAACTGTGGAGTTACAAAGTAATTGTAGGACCTCAGAAGCAGAGCTATTGAAAAAGAATTCTAGCACAAACTGGCAGTGAGAAATCTCTACAAGAAATATTATCTTAATAATACACAGATTCTAAATCTGGTAATAAAACAAAGTTAAAAAATTTTTGTTTAAAAAAAAATCTGTTTGTTTTCAGTTTGGGGTCACACCCAATACACACTCAGGGCTTAGTTTTGATTCTGAGTACACCCAGCAGTGCTCAGGGCTGAGTTTTGACTCTGGGCTCAGGAAACCACGAGGGCAACTCAAGGGATGGAACTCCAGCCCGCCATGTGCAAAGCAAGTATCTTACCTTGTGTACTATTTTTCCAGCCTCCTGAGAATTATTTTAATGACAATAAAAACGTATACTTGGAAATAGAAAAAATACCATGAATTGCTTGTATACTAACTTTTGTGTTGCTAAAAATATCTTGTTAATGACCTGAAAATAAAAATTCCATGTAAAAATTAATTTTTGTTGGTTGAAGTGATAGTTTAAGGATTAAGGTACTTAATTTGCCTTGCAGACAGATCCCAGTTTCACTGATCCCTGAACACTGCTAGGTGTGATCCCTGAGCACAAAGCCAGGAATAAGAACTTTGAAACCTCTGGGGGTGACCAGGACCCCTTCCCAATGCCCCACCTCCCAAAATTTTATTTATGTTCTCTTCTGTGGGCCTCAGTTTTCCACTCTGTGAATCTCAGAGTGGACAAGGTTAATGCCAGTGCCCAAAGGAGCCCTCAAGCTGTGGACCTAGAGAGTTGATATTCTTATCATTCCGCCCCCCCCCCCCCAACATTGCCCAAACAAAATAAGCAGATAAGTAAATAAAATAAAGAAAATGTCGTTGGTCAATAAACAAGTTTTCTTTTTCTAGTTGGTATTATTAACATTAGTAGAAAATTCTGGAAACTCAGATTTTATTGAGGTCCAAATTATTTTTTTCTTCCTTACTGTAAAGGAGATTTAGATAAAATGGAAATTTGGTGCTTAAAGGGATTATTCTGATGTTAATGAAAATAATTCCATCACACTGCTACCTTCCTCCTTTACAAAATCACTGTAGACCCTCGCAGGCATAGATAATCCTTTCCAGATTTCTACAGCTGCTTTTGGATTTCCCCCAGAGGTACTAAAATTTTTCAACTATGCCCTACTAGCTTTTACCTCAGAGACAACTGCTAGCTTCTCCTTCATTTAAAAAAATCACCTTCAAATACTAGCTTCCCAATCCCTATACTCTTCAATCGAAAACTTTTTTACCGCTTTATGGTTCTACATTCACTCTCATGTTTAAAGGAAGAACAGTCCCTTTGTATTGAAGTCAAGACTTTTTTTTTTTTTTGCTGAGGGTAGGGGGGCACACCCAACAGTGCTCAGGGCTTATTCCAGGCTCTGAACTCAGGGACCAAATGAGGTGTCAGGGATTGAATCTGACTTAATGCAAGTCATAGCACCCTATACTCTCTATACTGTCTCCCCATCCCCTTGAAAACTTTCCCTAGACTTCAGCTAATCTTTTCCTTTTCAGCAAACACACCTGTAGTCATTTTAAATCCCCTCTTGTTTATTAGCCTCTGCCCTGCCTGTTCTTTCCCTCGTTTTCTTTGCCTTTACTAAATGACTTGATCCACTGAACTTAAATGTACTTCACTGTTTGTCACATTAGATATTTTGTGCATAATAAATGTGGTCTCAAATGTCAAATCTATGATCTTAGTAACTGCAGTTATGCCTGTGGTTTCAAATATCAATTCTATTTTCATAATCTCAAAGTTTTTTTTAACAAATTTAACCTGAACTTTACAGCCCATGCTTTCAATTGCAAGTTAGATAAACATCATCTAGATAAGTCAGTTGGTCATACCAAATATTCAAACTTGAAATTATTACTTCTCTTTTCTCAAATCAATTATGCAAAGCTTCCAAATTAGTTTCCACATTTCTTCTTCTTATCCTCCCCCAAATGACATTAATTTTGACCTATTCCTCTCACACTCCTAGCATAGTTCATATTCTTATATCTCTGCCATAACAGTATTTTCCTTATTAATCTCCAGGCTGTAGCCACCAATTCTTTTTTTTATTTTATATTAGTCATTGAAGTATGAGTAATCCAGTAGGGTTTAGGTGAACTAAGAATTTAAAGTTCTTAAAATTAAGTCATTTATTTTTTTAAACTTAATGCAGTTGGTTTTCATATTAAGAAAAACTTATCAAAATCTGAAAAAAAGTCCATGGTCTGCTAAGCCAACACTAAGTGATCAAGGTGATATCGATAAGATAGACTCTAAGCTTTGGCCCATGATATACTTTCCTAAAGACATCTCACAGACACCAGCAACCCTCATCATTGAAGACCAGTTTTGCCTGACCACCAAATAGAGATGCATTTCTTTTGCATAGATGAGGTCTGGTAGTCAGAGAAGAAGACAGTTTCTGGGAAATCAATGTCAATGACATTATTATAATGTGAGCAACATGTATTTTAAAAATTACCCCATAGTTTTTGTATAACATTCCAATAAAGATGTTTCTAAATTCAGATTATTGGTATTCTTTATGAAGTACAATACTGGTTAACTGTAATAACTCAAACTAACAGAGTATAAGATAAATAGGAGTTACAACTTGGTATTTGAAGAAACTTCTGAATGTCTAAATGCGAAAACTGGGTTGACATGTTCTATCAGGAAGTTGTTCACAGCTTCCCTTTAGCCCTGCTAAACAGGATAGCATCCTGGGGCCAGTATTCCAAAAGAAAGGCAAGGTCACGTAGAAAGTTATTATCTTTTATGAGGATCATGGAAAAACAATTTTAGAAATAGAAGATAAAGTACTTTCCATATGTTGAAAGAAGAAATTTTTTAATTAGTGGCACATGCTATGACTATGAATATGGTTCAAGTGATAGTCATGAGTAACTTAATGTAGTATAAAAAGTTCTTTCTTTAAAATTTTTTTCGATTGGTTATATAGGCAATAGATTAAAATAAAAGGCAGCAGAATTCTTAAATGTGAATATTCCTGTAAAGGATATTGCAGAATACTTTGCAATCAAATAAACAGAATCAATTAACAAAACCTAATGGAAAACAAACTCATTTTTTTCCTTTACAAACCCTGTTATAAACAGTTAATGGCAACTTTTCTTTCATGTAACTAATTCTGAATCGGCGTTTTTAGAAAAAAATTTAGAAGTATAATTTCAGTAATTATTATGCTTGAGAAATAATTTCACAAGTCAAATAATTATGTAAATTAAATGAGGCATAAACTTGTTACAAGGTAGAAGCAGATTTCCTTATAAGGAAAAGAATAAGTAGTTTCATGAATGTGTTATTAATAAAATAATTTTTAGTTAGGACAACACAATAGAATTGCTTGAAATAAAGGATGTAATAAGAAGAACAAAATAATATGATATTCTGAACTTAGAGACTTAAAAGTCAGATCATAATTTTTTTTTCCCCCACTCCTTAGCTTAAAAGAAGATAAGTGCATTGGTTGTTTCAAACTTTTCTAGGATGTGCGTATGTGTCTGTACTTATTCCAGTACCCTGAGCCAAGGATATAACTTAGTGGTATGATACAGTTCACATTTTGTGTGTGTGAGTCCCTAGGTTTGATCCCTGGCATTGCAAAAACAAACAAAAACACTTGGAAATAACAAATTAGAGTGAAAAATCATGATTTACAATAGCATTTGGAAAAGAGCTTTATTAATTAGTGAAATTTTAAGAGAAGACACCCACTAGGAACTATTTGCCATCCTCCTTTGTTTTGTTTTTGTGGCCATCCCTGGTGGTGCTCAGGAGCTACTCCTAGTTCAGTGCTCAGGGATCATGCTGGTAGTTCTCCATATACATCCTGCTTGGGGAGATAGCTTAAAAGACCGGAGCCAATACTTCATATGAAGAAGACTTGCATTCTGTACCTGGCACTGAATGGGCCCCCTACTCCAGCACTAAGCCAAGTAAGTTGTGGCACCCAAAGCAAAATATATTTATATCTAGACATATATTTATATTAATAAGAAACGGTAAGGTATATTAAGACTAGACAACTTTCCTTTGAACAGAAAAATAATGCCCAAGAGATTGCCCTGGGCAATCTCAGAAGTGTCACTATACCTGTTCAGAGGGAACTGTGCCACCTCTGGGATTGGCATCCAAGTCTCCAGGGAGTTGCCTCCTTATAAGAACCAGGCCACGTGACTCAGCTGTTATGAACCCCGATGCAGAGTGCAGCTAGGGTGGGCAGTAGAATTGATGGAAACTCTCCTAAAGCATCTAAGCACATTTCTACCATCATCTGATAGGAAATTCTTCTGTGGTTCTGAGGAATGGAAGGTCGATTTGGATTTGGAATAAGCATAGCAACACACACATCCAGTTTTTAGCATATGGATAATCTGTCTCTAAAATCCCCACCATTTTCTTTGTTAACTGTCCCCACTTAAGATTAGAAAAGGAGGTAGCTCCTCAGATAACTCACTCCCACCCACCTCAAACTGCACTCACCGTGGGCAACCTGAATCAAATTCCAAGTGGCTAGCCTCTTTCCGACCCACCGTTTTCATTGACTGGAATAAATACACACACATTCTAGAAAAGTTTGAAACAACAAATGCACTTTTTTTTTTTTTAAATCATCCCTGTCCTTTGGTGAAACGAGCATCAACTAAAACCTGCCACTGTTATCTGTAAAAGCGTAACCACTGGTAGAGGCATCCCCATCCCCAAAGCTGTTTGATTTTTCCGGTCAACAAATTTAAGCGAAAATTTCTCAGACCTCCCCGCGCCTCTGGGCCTCCTCTCCCCCACCCTTCCACGTTCTCGGGCCGGGCTCCAGTCCTCTCCCCGCCTTTCCTCCGACCCGCCCCTTTCGCCTGGCCCCTCCTCCTCGTTGAGTCAGTGGCTTGAAACTTTTAAAAGCTCTGTGCTCCAAGTTAGAAAAAAGCTTTTACGAGGTATCAGCACTTTTCTTTCATTAGGGGGTAGGAGTGAGGAAAGTACCAAACAGCAGCAGACTTTTAAACTTGAAACAGACAGGTCTGAGTGCCTGGACTTGCTTTTTCCTTTTACTTCATCCTCTAAGAAGTTCAATCACTTGGCGTGCCTACTTAAGAGAAAGAGTAAGTTTTTTTTTTTTTTAAAAAAAACGCTTTACCTGTATTCCTCTCTTTTTCTACAAGTAAATCTTTTCTCAGGTCTTTAAAAGGTGGGAACGGAACTTTGATCTGACACTGTTTAAGTGGAATAGGGAATTTGAAAGTGTTTCTGTAGTTTAAAAGTTAAAAGTGAGCCTATGTATATTTTTCCTGACTTGTTAAAAAGTTTCTATGTATAGTGCAACAGGTAAAAAACTGAGATTTAGACCTTTCTGGTTTAAAAAGGAGCGACTTTACCGCGTAACTGGTTCTTCATTCTACTTTTAATTCTAGTTTATTTTCGTAAACAGAAATTGTCTGTATACTTTGTAACTGGGGGTGGGGGGGTGGGGGGCGGCTGAGGGGCCTGAACTGGGAATTTGACTGACAATATCACAAAAATCAAAGTGCAAATTTGCTTGGCGTGCTGGCTATAGAATTCTGCACTCGTGCTTTTTCATATGGAAATCAGGATTGATGTTCTATAGGCTTGCGGAGCACACTTTTCACCGAGTGCTTTGTTAAGACCCTGTGGTTCCTTGACTTGCACGTGGTCCCTGCCTAGAATTTCCCCCAGTAAACAAAAAGGTATCAAAATGAGAGTTCTAATGTTGAGTTTTTAAAGGACACGGAAAATAGTTACTTTGTGTTAACAGCCACTAAAGGAAAAAAATTAGAAATGTGAGACCCTCAGAGAGCCACCTTTTATTCGACCACGCTGGCGATGTAGGAGATGAAATCCCCAGAATGGGAGGATGGTGGTTACTTTCAAAGCCATCGAGGCGGTGAACAGATGTTTAGGAAAGAGCGTATGCCAGGGGGCTTTTCCAAAACCTTAGCTCCTGCTCAGACAGGAGCTCCTAGAAAGAAAACGGGAAATTTCTTAAATTGCGCCTTTGCGCCTTTAGAGAGAGCTCACCCCCGTTCCCCAGTCTTCAGAGGATCCGAACCTGAGATTGGAAAGCTCTGGGACCACTTGGAGTTGGGGGGTGGGGGTGGGGGTGCCGAAGAGCTGTCGATGGGCATAATAATACGATGAAACTGGTTCGTGTTCTCAAGACTCGGGGTCCCCCGGAGCCTTAAGGGGTCACATGCATTTTTGTAAAGCCAGCCATGCAGCCAGGCTTTTTTTTTTTTTTTTTTTTTTTTGGATTGTGGTGCCCGGGAAGAAAAGGCGCTGTTGCCGCGCCACAGATTCAAGGACTTAGTTGAAATTCTTGGTGTGGCCCGACAGCTTGAAGGATCTGCCCCGGAGAAGGCTGGAAAGCAAATCAAAAGGAAAGCCCTAGCGGAGGCCGGGAGCCGGGGCAGGCGCCTCCTGCCATCTTAGCCTGGGCCCGGGCTTGGCCCGGGTGTCCCGGGATGGTCCCTCCCTTGCTGACCGCTCGCACCCCGGGCCGCCGAGCCCCGGCCGCCGCCGACTGGGCGAAGAGGCGAGAAGCGGGCAGGGGAGGAGGGACTGGCGTGCCAAACGGCCGGAGAGCAAATAATTCAATTAAACGTGTCAATCTAATTTCCCTTCCCTCTCACCCTATTCACGCTGTGCTTTTTTTTTTTTCCTTAATTCTCTTATGCTTGTTGAATCCTCCTGGGTAAGCCCGGTTGAAGAAACCTGAGTACCTTGGGAATGATCAGGCTTAAACGGCACTGCTAAACGCCCCTTGGAAGTTCTCGAAACTTCCCAAGAATGTGACGGAGCGCCCCTTGACGAAATTAGGAAAGAGCTAATGACGTGTCCAAAGGCAAATCACTCCGAGATTCGGAAACTTTGTGAATTCCGAGCAGCGGATTTGCCCACACAATATCCTCTGAGATATCAAGTGTTTATAGAGCATCACTGATAAAACTTACCCTCACCCTTCCTTTAGCCAGCGTCTCCTCCCCACCCTGGGGCTCGCCTGTGTTTTTCTCGCAAAGTGGAGGGTTGAGAGGAGAATTGAAAATTGGGGGGGAACAGTAGGCGAGACATCTTCACTTGGAGGGGACTTGAATTTTCGTTTGCTTCAAAGTAAAGATGCTTTAGCTTCACACTCCGGAGACAGGGCACACCTGAGCTCAGGCACCAAGTGACCAGAGGCGGTTTTAAAAACAAACAAACAAACAAACCACAGCCTTTACTGGAATTCTAAAAACCTAAGCCTACTACCTACTTTTGTACAAGGATTGTTGAGGATCAAAGGCCTTTGTAACGTAGAAATTTCTTGAACTCCACCCCCAACAATGACACAAACCAGTTAACTAGAAAATACCGCTTGGGAAGTGTAATTAATTAGGCAGGACGAATTGAACTCCAAATCAGACAATGACAGGAAGAGTGTTCCGGTCCTGGTGGTGTGTTACGTTTTGTGCAACGCTTTGTCCTTACTCAAATCAGGGCCGTTATTACCTGTTCTTTGTCCGGGAAAGGCAGAGGTTGTCCTTTGCCTCTACTTTCTATTCTGTTGAAACATGTTCCACTTTTTTCTGATACCTTCTATAGTTTACAAACTACCATCGCCGCGCCATTCATTGACTTCTCATTCCTTCACAGCTGAGCCTCCCTGGGATACGAGGTTCCAAAGATCATCTGTGGCGAGCATCTAATCTAGAAGGGTGTGTTTTCAGATAGAGTTGTTTTCTTACTCAGATGCCTCCAATTCCTGCACGGAGAAATATGGAAATCTCTTGTTTGTGTTTCTTCGTTCTTTCATATGATCCAGAATATTATCCTAGTTGAGTGTGTGCCTCCTGCCTTTTTATATATGATACCCGAGGGAAGGGAACGATAGCAAAGGCACCAGTGATTAATACCTTCTACTCCACCTTTCCTGTTGTTCGGACTTCCCTTCGACATACTCTGCTGTTTTTGAGTAGAACGTTGCAGCAAATCCACTCTCACCAGTTCAACTCTGGAGAGAAAAGTAATTATCTAGTGTTATCTTTAATGTCAATATTCAGTATGGATAATTCAAGTTAATTTCCAGAGTTTCTTTTCCCTGACCTTTGTTTTCATCCTTAAGATAGCTGTTTAAATTCTCCACCCAGCCTGTAACTGTGTACTGGATCTTTTGCCAAAATTAAGACACAGGCCTTGGTGAGTGAGAGAGAGAGAGTGTGTGTATATGGCTTTGACCTTGACCTTTTCTATAGTCTCAGTAGCCACTTTTCCCTAGCTTGCCAAATTTCTAAGGAATGTATCTTTTGTCGAGTACATTAGAAAATAACAGTAACTAGGAAAAGGAGAGGGTTTTTGTTTTTTAGCAGTTTCTGTGAGTTGGAAGTGCTCAAGAGGGTAAGAATTTTATCATTTAGAGAAGATGCCCCCAAATGTGGGAAGAAAGGCAGGACTGTCATGTTCTTTTCTCCCTACCAAATAACAAAAAGGGTAAATTCATACTAATCTGCACAGGATTACTAGAATAGCTTCGTTACCGAAAAAAAAAAAAGTCAAAAGTTATATTTGGCTATAATTAGGGAAATGTTGATAATTTTTTTGTTGCTATTTCACTTTAAAAAAATGTCAAAGTGAGAAAGAAGGAGCTGTCTTTATGTGTAACGATTTTTTTTTTTATGTTTTTGGGTTTAGGAGCCACACCCAGTAGTGCACAGGGATCCGTAAGTAGTGTCAGGGACTGAACCTGGTTTGGGCACTTGTAAAGAGTCATAGCTACTGTACTATTTGCCCAGCTCCAACTAAAGATCTTTCATTTTATTTATTTTTGGGAGGCCAGACCCAGCGATGCTTAAGGGTTGATTACTCCTGGCTCTGGACTCAGGAATCACTCCTGGTGGGCATCTGGGGACCATATGGGAAACTGGGGATTGAACCCAAGCAAGCTGTGTGCAAGGCAAGCACCCTATCCACCCTTTACAGTGCTATCTTTCCAGCACCATAAAGATCTTTGAAACAAATAATAGTTCTTTTTGTTGTTTTTTTTTTGGGGGGGGGGCACACTTGGTAGTGCTCAGGATTTATTTCTGACTCTATACTTGGGAATCACTCCAGGGACTACTTGGAGTACCAAGGATTGAGTCCTGGTCAGCTGTGTGCAAGGAAAGCTTTCTATCCTCTGGACTATAACTCAATCCCTAAGTGAGTTAAACTTTTATCAAGCTCTCGCCCACTCAGAGCTTTGTGGTGTGAGTTATATTATTCAAAGTTTATTTATTGAAGAAATAGACCATTCTTAATATACTCGTGAAGGTCATAAGAGTGTGTTATGACAAAATAATCAGGCTGTTGAATAAAAAAGTAGTAAAATTGGAGGTGAGGTTGGGGGCAAACACCATGAAATGGTAGAAATATTTTTGTGATTTGCATCAGTTTATAATTGAAAACATGACATTTGGACTCTAGCTTCTGATGAGATTTTTTTTTTTCTCTTTTGTTTCCAAAATGGCCACAGTGACTTGTTAGCTGGGGAGTTGAGTGACTGCTGTTGAAGTTGGACAGGGGCGGGTCTCCCTTCCCTCTAGTAGCTCATCCTCCATTTCATCTCATTGTCCTGTGGAGCCAGTGGTGATTGACAGAGATGGAAGAGAGGCAAAGGAGAAAGGCTTACTATAGTAGACATTGATATTTGACTAGGTTCTTTATACCATAGCATTAGGCCAACTATCCAAATTTAACGAGACAAAGATTGGAAATTTGAGCTGGTAACAATTTCCCTAGTACCTGAATCAAGTCACTTAACTGCCTTCATAGATTCCGCAGACTATTTGTTCTTGCAATATATTGTCATTATGACAGTCAGGTTATATGTACATTTGGATTACTGCAAAATTGGGGGAGCGGCACATTTCACAAAAATCTTAGCCTGTAACAACATAATGGTGACATTGAACAAAAATCCATAATACCAAAGCCAGAGAGATAGTACAGTAAGGTCCTTGCCTTGCATGAGACTGGACTGGGTTCAATCCCCAGTAACCCATATGGTTCCCCAAGCACTGCCAAGAGTGATCCCTGAGTATGAAGCCAAGAGGAGTCCTTGGGACTGCCAAAT